CTTATTAGTTTAGGGGCTACAGCTAAAACACACCCTATATTTATTAAATAAGAGAAAGATTCTACCTGCTTTTCTAAGGCCTAAGTATTACTTAAAATACTTAAAGAAAAGTATTCATAGACCTGAAGAGTACTAATACTTAGCCTTATTTACTACTTCTGATTTACTATTAATAGCTTTTCTTTTTTTCCTATTTTTTCTTTTAACTTAGAGGGATACTATTATATATTGGTTATTATATACTACCTTAGTAACTATATCTTATCCATCAATAGCTAGTACTTTACAAATAACAACTATCTTCCCCACGACTGGCATTGCCATAGAAAGGTGCCCTACCAATTTTAGTATTAGTATTAGTAATATAAAGTTTTTAGGTCTTTCTAAGGGATGTTTTACTACTTATTTATTACTTTTTAAGTAGTTTATATAGAATATAAGAAATTATTAGTTATCCTAAAGAAAATTTAAAAGTTTAAGAAATTATTATACTACTATAGTAAGTATAGCTCTTATATATATCTAATTATCTAGGAATTTAACTCTTTTAGGATCTTCTTAATATTATAGCATAAATATTATTTATACTATAGTATTTAGATTAAGATCCTTTATAAATCTATACCCTATTTTTTTAAATAATTAAAGCTAAGTAGTAAGGGAAATAAGCTATTTATTAATCTTATTAATTATAGGAGTAGAATTTTTAACTAATATAGTTATAATCTATTTAATTATATAGATAAATATATTAATAATTAATAATAAATATAGTAGAATAGTAGAATAATATAGAATATATCTATTAATTAATATARTTAGTAAAGGTGGAAAATACTTTATAGTATATAGAATAATAGTACTTAAATAAATTAATAGATAAAAGCTTATAATATAATAAGAATAAGGAAGGTTAACAAAATAGATAAAAGATTAAGGTTAATAATAAAGATTAGTAGAAAGGTAAGTATAAGTTTATTAATTATAGTATAACTAAAATCCTAGTTATAGTATTATTAACTTCCTTTTTAGGAAAGTAGTAAGGTAGCTTAATATAGATCTCTTATTAAGTAAATAAAAATTAGTAGGTATAGGTAAGACTGCTATAGTATTATTTATTAATAAAATTAAGATTTTAAAAAGTATAATTAATTAATTAGATTAGCCTAAATCACTCCTTAGAAAACTAAGGACATATTACTATTTAGTATAGTACCTTTCTATGGTAATGCTAATTATAGGGAAGATAGTTATTATTCCTTAAGTACTAGCTATTAATAGATAAGATATAGCTAACCAAGGCATGTGATGACTGACATGCAACACCTTCATTCAATTTCAATCTTGCCTATAAATTCTTAGTCATTTCAAAACTTTACTAGCGTAGTCGAATTCAAAAATACATAACACAGCCTGCAACAGAGGCTTATCAGTGGTTCACCAGGTCACATGTGACAAGCTGTTATTTTCATACTTTAAGAAAATTTAAGAATATACAGTGGAATTCAATTTTTAAAAATTTTGAAAAATAATATCTGAACTATTTATACCTAGTTACACCATATATATAAATTACACTTTATAATGTTCATCTTTGGGTGAGATATAGAAGGCTTTAGAAGCCTTAAAAAGGGCCCTTTTCAGGTGGGCCCGCTCTCTTACTGATTACAGTAATCATTATTACTAATCAGGTATTATTCATCTACTCTTGTTTGATAACTATCATTATGAACATATATTAATAATACAAATATTTAGGAGAAAGATGACCATGTCAGTCTTCACCATTATCAAGGATAGGGAGGTCCTAATTTTGTTAGATACAAACAAGTCTCCAGGCATTCGATGGCTAAACAAACTCTTTTACTATCCCCCCCATCTCTCTCATCCCAACCTGGGAAATTAAATGAGACCCTTCAGTCGTACAATCGCAATGAAATTGATCTTCAGATGCTTGACCGTTTGGCCTTCGGTCTTGCGTCATTGCCAGACTCAACATACTCTAGTATCGTCATCCTAGCAGGTGGAGATAACTCCTTTTCTGAGAGTCTGAAAATTATAAACCGCCAGACATTCAATCAAATTATTAAGTCTCTCAGGAGAGGTGGGTATATTTACAGTCAGGATGCAGTTTCTGGGGTTGCCTTCGATCACAACGAAGCGATTCTCGCTGGGCTTATGCATGTTGGCAATGGCAAATACGTGAAACCTGATATCAGGGAGATGCAGGCTGTTCCATTGCGGCTTGGGAGGAAACACAACCATCTTGCTGGGGCACCACCTAGTTTGGAGGATTCAGCTGCAGAACATCCATTCCCACCTGGGGTTTCCGAAGGTAAAACCCCCAGTGGTGATGGTATAGTCATTGTTGCTGGGTCTCAAAATTTTCGGGAGAACATTGTTTCAGCAGCTACAATGGATAATAATCAGGTTTCTGATGATGAACTTATCAACGAGGACAATCTTCTGGATGACAGTGAACTTTCAGCACCAATCATACAGCGTAAGTGTTCTTCCATGCGATGTGATTCTTATTTAGGCATAATTGGGACCCTCATCGTTCTCTTAAGTTTATGTGTCCATCAACCACAACTGACAGGTGGCCTAGCGCCAGAATGCCGTCCCAAAGCAGGGAAGCGCCGCCGGGCTTGTAAGGATTGTACTTGCGGGCTCGCGCAGAAATTAGAGGAGGAGGATGCAGCCAAGAGAGCTGACGCTGACGAGCAACTTGACGCAATGAAGTTGTTACATGGTGATCTGGCTGAGGTTGACTTCACTGCGCAGGGAAAGGTCGGGAGCTGTGGAAATTGCTCCCTAGGTGATGCTTTTCGATGTGAGGTATGAACTCTCTAAATCTCACTCACTTCATTGGAATGGTGTCTGACCATACGGGCTATCATCTATAGGGCTGCCCTTTTATTGGCCTCCCCGCATTTCAGCCTGGTGAGGAAGTTCAGCTTCTTAATAATGATATTCAGCTCTAAGTATATCACTAATTGTGGATATCGCCATTGTATTATATTATGTGCAATGTGCAATGAATGATACCTTAATTCCTGACCTCATAAATAATAGTTAGATTTATAACGCGGTATGTGTGGCTGGTTGCTTGGTACATGTATTTTATTCCAATACCTCCTAAACTCTTCTACTCTTAGGTTGGACTTGGTTGTGTATCTTTCCATGGTGCTTTTTAGAAATATGTTGTAAGTAAATGGGATCATACAGTTGGTTATTTATACTATATGTGTACGATTGGCCATAAGTCAAATTAGAAGTTGGTTATGTATGGGTCAGCAGGGTGTGAGCATGTATAGAAATTTTCTAGGATAAGGATGAATTAGTAGTATTATTAACTTATTATTACAAAGTTTGTTCTGTAATACTGCTATTATATAGTTGCATAACCTCCCTGCTCTAATAATATTTAAGTATTTATCCTATGCAAGAGAGTATAGTAGTTATATATTAACTAATCCCCGTGCATAAGACTCTGCAGAACATGGCCATGTGAAGTGCTAGCCTTATAGATATGGTTCTTATAAAAGGTAATATTTTAGGCAGCTAGCCAGGTACTATCATATATCTATAATAACTTAGCTATTGCAATTTACTGCACCTCTCTTCCAAGGTTTACAGCACTGTGGTCTGCTGTAGCCCTTAACAATAACAGAACCTGATAAGGCCCTGAATTTAGACTAAATATAACTTAGTACAGAGGCCCATTTCACTATATATCACTCAGACCCTCCTATTTTATGTTGGCCAAAGATTAACAGGGCTGTAACAGAAAATATGGTAGAGATATAATATTATTTTAACCTATACTCAGAACTACATCATATGTTGTACTTCTACTGGGCGAGAGGTGGCTGAGTAGGTGGTATCACATGACTATCTCATGGTACCTAGCGACTTCCTCACAGTCCAACCCTATGAAGGCTATGATATTGTTGAACAGCTTCCAGTCTGTGGTGGAGTGAACTTAATGGCCTTGCTATAGAGAGGTACATGACCACTATAGTATTCACGCAGTATTAGCTAAGGCATTGGCCTGTGTCATGTGGGTAGAAAGCATAACCCATATCTTACTCTACAGATGACAGTACGTAGGTACGGTAGACTCTGGGGCAATCCATATTGCATTCCAGCCAATTATGATTAAGGATGGCATCAGTGTCCCACATCCTGTCGTCATGTGGCATAGATCATTGATCATTCCACCCCACCACTCTCTGAGGTAAGGTAGTCATAGGAACTGTTCTAGTTCCTGTTGATGCCTAAAATCTCTAAAAATACCAAGTACCTTCATAACAACAAGAGAGTATTTAGATTTCAACACTTTTAGCTTGATAATTCACCTCTTCTCTATATCCATACCTTTGGTATTCTGGCATCTTTCACCCTAAAACCTGCTCATTAGATGTCAGCATACACTACCTTAAGAGTAACACCTGACTGGATCACTGCACGCCCCCGCATTCATATTTATTACTGCCCTGTGATGACACTATCTACTGACAAGCTAAATCCAAGCCATCGCCGCACTGACTCATAGTCAGATCTATCTTAAGGTCCATTTGGAAAGACCTAAAGACCATCAAATCATTTGTGGACAAGGCTCATCACAACCCCCATTCTCCCCCTCCATACAGCATCGAGCTATCAGATTCCCAGTCATATTCAATAAGGCAGAACCGACTCTCAAGTACCCAGTGGCTGGAAGTTTTATTGCTACCTGAGTCATATCTGTCCATTGCCACCTTAGACAAAGGAGCGGCCCTGACAAATCACATTTCACGTGTGTTTTGCCAACATTAGGTTGACAGTCACCTTTCTATTGACTTCTACTAACACTCTCGCATCAGCCTTCATCATCAATTGCCCTTTGAGGCATTATATCTCCAACAAACCCAGATCATATCTAATATCACTATTCTCCACTTCCCGCTCCAACCCAGCTCATTTTTGCTCTCCTGAGTCCTATCTTTATCAATAGAATGAACCCATATACACCCCCAACGCCGTTGGACCAAAATCATAAACTCGCCATGAGTCGCCTACCGTCTGTTTCCAGTCTCATGTCACCTCCTGAATCTAAACCGTTCGAGAATTTCAATAGCTCATTGTCACCTTACTCGACGTCACAGGATTATTGCTCGTTTGTCCATGGCATGAAGCTTCCTCCCATTTCTAGCGAACGGAAGCGAACGCAGTCGGAAATGGATTTGCCATCGCCGCCCGTCACTCCGTACACCGGAAATAAGAAAAGAAAATCGGATGTCTCAGAGGAAATCGAGCGAGATGTCGCGCTCGGTTCCTCGAGAGATCCTGTTCTGTTCCCTCATCACGATTCTTTGACAGATGTTGCCACTGATGAGCCCTTGTTTGGGCAGATTCTTCCGGCCCCAGCAGAGGTTCTAATGGAACAACATATCGATTCTCACATGGCAAGATTTGATAACAAAGTGAATAAGCCAACACGTGATGAGTATCTCTTAGCGCTGTCCTGCGTGCCAGTCGTTTCCGCCCAGTATAACCGGAATCCAGCTGCCTGGGCCAAGGAGGAACGTGAAACACTTGAGCGTCAATTGTTCATGATGAATCGTCGCCGACCTAAAATTTTAGATGCAAAATTAAAGACGATTGCGCCTGCACCGAGCAAACGGGCGGTTACCACACAGCCTCGCGCACAGCGAACACCGCGGGCCAAGCGTTCCCCCAAATCCACGCCGCATCAAAAGGCGCATGAATCCTTTGACTTACCTGCTCAGACGAGTACTAGGCCTCCCAGGGCGATAGGAACAAATCGGGATGACACAGATTATACTTCCATCAAAGATTTCTCACCCTCACCAGAAACACTTGGAGGCAATGCGAAGGCATTGAAGGCAGACTGGAAAGGACAGATGTTAGATCTTAGCCAGGATCCAGACCGGCACCTTTTGAGCCCGGCTGAGCTCAACCTTGCCTCCACTTTGAGGCTCTCATGCGCAACATACTTATGCAGCAAACGCCGCATCTTCGAGGCTCGTGTGAGAGCTTTAAGGATTGGCAAAGAGTTCCGCAAAACAGATGCCCAACAAGCTTGCAAGATTGATGTCAACAAAGCGAGCAAGTTGTGGACTGCTTATGATCGTGTCGGCTGGTTCGATTCGGAACACTTTCAACAGTATTTAGAGTGACCTTAGCAATTGGTGGATTTTTATTGGTCAAGAATACTCATACCTTGCTATGTTGCCATTAGTGTTATTTTAGCTTTATTCTGTGGGAGTTGGACTTCGACCAGGTTACTTAATAGCTCATCGATGATTATAGCCCCTGCTGCACTTCAGTCTGCTTGGAATGGGGCAAGTTCTTTCCTTTCTAGATCGGAATATAGCCTCTTTCTGTATCTTGGACTCTTTGGTTCATGAGAGCTAACTGCACGGCTGGACTGTGCATTTTAATCCCTTATCAGTTCTAAGTTTAGATAGAAAGACTCCACATATGTCATTTGCTGATTCCTTTTTACTTGACCACCTAGCTAATAATTCTTAACTTTGGTACGGCTTGGTTAAGGCGCTCTCTTTCGGCAATCCCGGCATGCTTGATTTTCGACAGGCTGTTATTTGACAGTCAACCTAGGTACGGTCCTACCCCAAGGCTGCCAGCATGTCTCGTCAAGATTATCTGTTATAGGCTTATACTGGAGGTATGATTTTCTATCAATAGCTTCAGTATTCAGTTATACCCAGCGCAGGTTGCCAGAGTTAGCCCGCAAAGGTGTACTTGATTAATGCAGAAACCACTGACAGGTCATAGACCAATCTATAGAACATTAATCGATAATTTTCCTATAGAGTTTCTAAATGGACATAGAGATTTATCATCAACCTGGCTGAACTAGTGTAACAGATTCCAACCATAATAATAGGGTCTTTGAAACCTATGAGCTGCCCCTGATGTTAATACATAAAAGCCCAGGCAAAGATCCGAAATAACCTTAAGTAGTTGCTTATTAAAGTAGTCGTCCAGTGACTGGTATGTAAGTCAGATGTCAGTGAATTTGGTGTAGAAAGTGGAAGACACTAAGGTACATTATGCATTCGAGTCCACGGAGAGTAAGGTAGGTATCGTAATATGATTCGAGGACGCCACCTGAATGGTCCCGTCCCTTTACTCCTTATTAGTACTACTTTTTATCTAACTACCCACTGGACAACTCTTAACGGCTTAGACCGACCAGAACATCTTAACATTCAATCCCCGTTGAAATTCATTTAAAAATTCATCATATCGATATGTCTAATGTGGAAACCCCCCAAACAGGGTCTCTCAAAGATCAGGCTCGTGGGGAGCAGACTGACAGCGATAAGAAGGCAAAGACCAGGAGACCTGCTAGTATGAGACCCCTCGGCCTTTAAGAAATCTTCATGGATACCTCTTTTCCTCAATACTCACAGCCCAATAACAGACACTGCTTTCAGACAACAGCGCTTAAAAGCCTGGCAGTAAGATCTAATCTAACTATATTGTCGATTATACTTAAATTTGCTAACCGTCGACACCATAGACCAATTCTCACGCCGCGAAGCGTTCTGCCCATCTTCTTTGTGTTCGGCGTCATTTTTGCACCGATCGGTGGCCTTCTCTTATGGGCTAGCTCCCAAGTATGTATTGCGGATTCAAAGCTTCATGCGCATTGCATCTGACAGCGCAATGATAAGGTCCAAGAGATATCTATAGATTATTCAGAATGCGCGCAAAAGGCCCCTTCTTACCCAGTCTCAATTGCAGACCGTGTTAAGTCATCGTTCAAGTCATCAACTGGACAGTCTACCCCGACATGGGAGCGTCGTACAGAGAACGGGACTACCATTTGTCGGCTCAGTTTCGAAGTACCGGACGATTTAGGGCCTCCCGTCTTTCTGTACTATCGTCTTACCAATTTTTACCAGAACCATCGGCGATACGTGAAGTCACTGGATATAGATCAGTTGAAAGGCAAAGCTGTTGACAATAAGACCATCGATGGTGGCTCATGTGATCCCCTTAAACTCGACCCTACTGGAAAGGCTTATTACCCGTGCGGACTCATTGCGAACTCCCAATTCAATGACACAATACACAGTCCTGAACTCCTCAGTGACTTGGACCCAACGGTGTACTTCATGACTAACAAGGGCATCGCCTGGGATAGTGATAAGGAGCTTATTAAAACCACACAATACAAACCATGGGAGGTTGTGCCACCACCGAATTGGCACGACCGTTACCCAAACGGGTATATTGACGGTATCCCCGACCTTCATGAGGATGAAGACTTCATGGTTTGGATGAGGACCGCTGCCTTACCGGCTTTCACTAAACTGTCCCGCAGAAATGACAGCGTGTCTATGAAAGCTGGCTCTTATCGCCTGGATATTGAAGATCGTTCGTCCGCGCTATGCAATCCACCTTACCACTGGCTAATTGGACTCTAGGGTTTCCGGTCACTGAGTATGGTGGCACGAAGTCAATTCTCATCTCCACCCGAACTGTCATTGGGGGACAAAATCCTTTCATGGGTATAGCATATGTCGTCGTTGGCGGTATTTGCGTCCTTCTTGGGGCTCTATTTACCCTTGCTCACTTAGTACGACCGAGGTATGTGTTATTGATTCCCTGCTCAACAACTACTAAAGCTTACTATGGTTAGAAAACTCGGCGATCACACTTACTTGACCTGGAATAATGAACAGGAAAGCACAGTCATTGCTACGGGCAGGAATGACAGATTTGGACCGCATGCCCATTGATACAGGCTCAACCAGCAAATTGCCCCGTTCCGTGCGTTACGATATTGACTGTGTATTTTTCCTTTGCTTCTGCCGTTACTGCTTTTCAGGGTGTTCACATGGTTTTCGGGACGAATTTCACTGCCATTGCTCTAAACATTACAGTATGTGGTAATCTTCCTTTTACCAAGACTTTGATTCTGAGACTGTTTCCTGAATAGGCATGATTCCTCTATTGGTGAATATAACAAATTTCAGAATGTGCACTCTTCAGGCTGGAATTTCTCCACTTGTCCCTTGTCAGGCACTTCCTGTCAGAGAGGACATTCCTGTCTTGGGGTAATCAACACCAAACATTCCAGTTTCCAATAGCAACAAGATGTACTTTATAAATTCCAGACGGCCTTCAGAGGTTGAAGCCAAGATGCTCTGCGACAAGTTCCCCTCAACATGATATTGCCTTCCATTTCCCGCATTTATATCTTGCTCGTTATAAGTCTCATGTCGAGCCGCCGAACTCGGTGTCATGCGACGGCTTTACAGGGCCGTTCTCTGTGTGCCACTGGTGGTCCAGATGCAGCATTGAGGGCTGAACATGAAAGACTGGGAGCGTTCGAATCCCATCCGGACAGCGTATCTTACGACATGCGAAGAGCATTGGAGCCCATTGAGATAGAGACGTGGTTTCACATTGTGAGTGGCGAAACTGATGCAGATTTAGTAACAGACGAGATGGTCATACTTCAGGTCAGTTTACATTTATCGAAGACCTGCGTCGCGATTACTCTTCAGCTAGTTGACAATCTCGAAGTTACATTATTTGCAAAAAGCCTATGAAAACGCTGCAATCTCTTATCGGTTAAAGGGCGTCACGCGTCATGTTAATAAAACTTGGGCGCGCAATGGAGATGACTCGGCAATGAAGAAAGCACTTCGCAAGGGCGGTTACAGCACGTTAAATGTCTACTTTCAGACCAATCTACAGCCGCCCTCCGCAGACTTTGCGAGATGGACCTCTGAAGGTGACAATCGTCACGCATATAATCCAGACCTTGCCCCCCCTAGCGTCCTTGGTTTCTGCACTCTTCCGGATCCAAGCATTAATGCCAGCAGCCCTCGAGTCAGCTATTCCAAAGATGGCTGCAATGTGCTGGCTAAGACTATGCCTGGTGGCCCCATGACTCATTACAATCGGGGTGGTACTGCAATACACGAAATTGGCCACTGGAATGGTCTCTTACATACTTTTGAAGGCGAGTCGTGTTCGAACGAAAACGCTGGTGATTACATTGCAGACACACCGCAGCAGTCGATGCCCACTGACGGGTGCCCTTCTCAGAAGGATTCATGCCCGGATAGCCCTGGCTTTGACGCCATACATAATTTCATGGACTATTCATCCGATGACTGTTATGCTTCCTTTACATCTAATCAGCTGAAGAGAATGCGAGACATGTGGTTCTCCATGAGAAAAGGAAAATAGCATCTGGCCTAGGACAAATTCTGATTATCTATTTTCTAGTCCTCAATAGTGTTTGTAAATAGTCCTTGGAGACATCGCTCTCTGACCGCCAAGCGAAATCTTACAGTGTTACATTTTCATGTTATCGCCCTTTCAACTAGGGAATACTCTCATGATCATTCACATTTGCTGTCGAAGCCCATGGTTACCCAGCACAAGATGTACCTAGAGCTAGTTGAGCATAAGATTAGCCGTTATTCCTGTACCCAGATACACTGTCAAAGTAAGGCTGATAGCCCTATTCAGAAGATCCTATTGAGCAAATACCATGACCATTATCATCGAGGGTAATCTAGATGAAAGAGTAATCGATGAAACTCAAGAGTATTGGAGAAGTCACATAAAGCACACTACCTTTTTCGCTTCTTGCCATGTTCTTCATCATCCAAAGCGCCTTCCCTATCCTTCTTCTTAGCTTTCCTCTCGAGCTCATCCCAATCTTCACCACTCTCTTCTTCTGCGCTGAAATCACTTGCCTCCGCGCTAGCATCGTCGTCAAATTCGCTATCGTCCTCGGAACTCTCGTCTGCCGCCGCCAATTCCGACTCGGAGAGCTCAAATGCAGACTCCTCCTCCTCTTCCGATCCGTCCTCTGAATCAGACTCTGCAGCTAAGAAGGACCAACCCCCATCCGCAAAGAAACCGTAAGGATCACTCACAACCGTTTTCATGATGGTTGTCCAGTTGAGGTTCAGAGGTCCCTCGGTGAAAGCAATATCGACGGAATCCAGCCAGTCTTTCACGCCTTCCAAGGACTCCACCGGGATCGTGTTTATATGAACAGGGGCCCTGTGAAAGTCCTTGAAAACGAAGACTAGGTCAAAGTTTTTGAGACCAAACTACAGAACCATCAGCAAAACAATAACATTAATCATAACAGTATTAGCACCTTACCTGCACTCTCTCGAGATGGGCAATCTCAATCTCATTCAGGGTGATGACTAGGAAGGGGGGTTCCGTCAATTGCACGAGGGCGTCAGTGGTTGGTTGAATCAGAACATTGGAGCGGTTGGGGACGCCAGTGAAACCGATCTCTCGAAATGGTATGTCGACATCAACGCCCTCGTCTTTCCCGGCATCAGCTATCTTCTCAGCGAAGGCCTTAAATTCTCTGTCCAATGCTGCTCTGCGTCGCCTTTCCTCTTGTTCAGCTTCGAATTCCTCTTCATCTCCATAGCGATGTTTGCGTCTGCGATTGCCAGTCTCGTCAAATTGCATCTCGGTGGCCTCTCGGTAAAATTGCACATCTCTCGTTTTCCTCTTCCCGATCATGATAGGTGTTTTGAGATGGACGTGAATGAGGACAATCATCTCGTGAGCACACGGTTGGAAGAACAAATGTTTGACGTTGCTGAAGAGCACGTCGACGTGTTCATTCCGGAACGGAGACATGTATCGAAGACCGTTCTGATGTATCTCGACCTCACCCGGAACGCGCTTCCCGTCCAAAGGAGGCCGAAGGTAGACGTCAGGTAGCTTTACGGGACGGCGGTCTATGAGTGATTAGCATTGGCAACTGATTTGGGCGGTGCAAGGATGTACTTCGGATCTCAATGAGCTTGTCTTGCTCTACAACATCTTCCATCTCCTTCTTTTCTTGCTCCCGCCTCAAAGCATTTTTCCTCAATTCAGTGATATCCTGGGCAACCTGAGCCAACCTCTCGTTGTCCTTAGAACGAAGAGTCAGGTTTCGCAGGAAATGAGCCGACAGATCCTCGAAAGGCTGGTCATCCTTCCTACCGACTCCCTGGCCCGGGGAAAGAAAATTGATGCGGAGGTACGCATATTCGCCTTCGTCGCTTTTACTTGCATTCTTGATTGTGTTGATATGAAACGGGACTGGTCGACCCATTATGGGAACTATTACTGTAGATGCTTTTTGGTCAACATATACCGTGAGGTCTCTCACCTTTGTTGGTAATTGATTGTCCCTCTTGTACGATTCGAACCGTTTGAATCTTTTCTGCGTAACGCCATTGTCGTCTCCGGTAGTGCCAGCAAATCGATCAAGGCCCTCCTTTGTCTTTTTAGTGGCTAGCTCTTTTTGGTGCTCGCGGCGACGGGCCTCAGCACCTTCATTTATTTGAGTTGGCCGTTCCGCTCGAAGCTTCGTTCTTGTGATGTTCCTGCTGGCGATAGCACCTGTTTTCGCTTCCTTTTTCTCCTTGATGGGTTTTTGAGGTTCCTCTTCGTCTCCAAAGTAGAATGATACGGAGTCCATGTCAAGACCTGCATCCTTGGTGAACACATGTGGCCCATTTTCTCCCACACGAACGGTGTCTGTGATGACCATAGAGTAAGTTGAACTCTTGCTTCCTTTCATTTCCGGGTCTTCGACGTCTGTTAGACCCACTGTGATAGAAAGAGTCATGCCGCTTTTCAGTGTTCTGCTGTTTTTCCCATTTAGCACCATGTTGGGGTCTCGAAGCTCAATTCCGATACCAGCACCGACGCTCTTGACGAAATGGGACTCAAGCTCAGGTTTCTTCGTTCGGATTAGATTGATCGCCTTGTTGTATAGATCTCTGGCAATTGTGCCGTCGCGGACATCTCTCATAACCGCTTCATGTAAAGCCAGAAGGAAGGCATAGTTTGTCTCTTGAGACTTACTCGGATCCACTAAGTAGGTCCGTGCAATCATTGAACTGTAAGTCTTATACCGTATCCCGAATCCAGCGATAATAATGCCCGGTTCGAGATTGCTGTTATCAGACACTGCTGTGAGTCTAAGATCATACTTTCCTCCGCTTTGAATGACGGGACCATAGGCCCAGTCAATCTGTTGAGCATCGAACTCGGCCGGTAGTTTGCCCAGCTTGTTGAAAAATTTGGCGTCGTCGATTTTTGCATCGACCCGCGCGGAAAGAGCCTTATGAGTCATTTGCTTTTCTTCGTCGAGAAGGCGTGACATTTCCTCCACAAAGTATTCAGACATCAAGCCACTGCAAGCTCGTGAAGCATTTCTTATGGACACCTGTACAATATTAGTTAATTGTCCTTCCCAGTTTCCCAAACTGTAAGCTCCTTTTCAACGCACCAACTCGTCGGTATCTTTCACTGCAAAGGCAGCCGACAGAGCCGGCGAAATGTCAACTTCCTCTATTTCGCCAGATAATGTCGTAAAAGTGCGCTTCCAGTCTTCCGCGAAGGGACCTGCAGTTGTGTCCTTGGGTAAAACACCGACTTTATTCTGCATACGGACAAAATTAGTTCCAAGTAACAACACAACGGCAAGTCACTTGATAGAGCACCTACACCAGCGCTTCTGATGACTTCAGTGCATTTCTCGAAAGACCTCAATTTCCCTTCAGGATCCTTTGTTGTAACCAGTATTTCAACTGGGATCTTGCCACCCCTCAGCGGCTCAAGGTGCTTGGCTGGGTGGACACCGTTTATTCAGCAAAAGCCCTTGTACTTCGGACGAAAAGATTTACCTTTCTTCGCAGTTGTCACAACATAAACAGCTTCCAACGTAAAGACGAGAAGCGTGGCTGGAAACTCATAACCTAGCAACCAGAACTAGCAGTCAACCGACCATTATGTTAGCGTCGCAAAGAAAGCACCAAATGTAGCGGCAGTGATTAAACATACATGCATAGCGTTATTCTTTTGAAAAGTGTTCGCCTCGTCAGTTTTGCCCATCAAGATAACAATCGAGCCAACACCACCGAATGTGGGCTGACTTGAGCGTTTGTCCGCTCTCCATGCTGCGTAGAAGCTTGACAACCGATTGAAAAACAAAGTCTTGTCTATCACAATCTCTTCAGCCATGATCTGATGGCGTCGAAAGTGAGATTGTCGTGCAGGGTGTGCTGAGCCTCCCTGAAGAACTAGAATTGCACAAGGCTCGTCAAGCTTCTCTGATCGCCTTAATCTCAATTCGGTAACGCGAATATGGTAAACACCAAAAGTTCGAGGATGTGATGGTGCACAGGACTATGTAAGGATGGAGAATAGCGAAGTCTGAAGTCGTACTCACGCGAGGCTGGTGCTACGCGTTTCCCTATGTTTGAGCAGTTTGCATCCTTTGCTAATCAATTCCATGGACTCTTGGTACGGAGAACAAATAAGGTTCAAATAAGATCTAAACATTTATAATTTTTACGACAGTAGAGAGGTAGAGAGGTATTGCCTTTCAGATTCACAGCACTACAATATATATATATATTGTTTTTTTTCCCGGTCTTCTTTACTTATTATCATACCTACCCAGGTACCATACCTCCTTTCATGAAAAGGTCATCCAACATTGATAATCTCAATGTTTGTCTACTTAGCTTATCATTCATATCGATTGTTTTCTTCATCTTCTGCTACCTCTATATAGGCGAGGATTGGTAAAATATCCGGATAGGCAACTGATAACTATCCTCTCCGCAAACTTTTGTTATCTGAATGCATATACGTCCCGATGGAGAAGGGCGCGCTAGGTCATCCGCATAATGTCATCTGAGGATACCATTTCCCTTGGGGATCAAGTACGCTTCGATGACAATGTCTCTGGCGCAGAATCCAGCAAGTCTACTCGGAGAAACACTCGGAATGATGCAGCCACTGGCGCTTCGGCAGCTGGTGTTCGGGCAGTCAGTGCGCAGATGGTTGCTTTCTACTTCAGAGCTCCCGTCAAGGCTTTTTTTCGCACTCGGGTTGAGTATGCACTCCTCCCTCTCGCTACCCAGACTGAGATTTGTTGACACACGTCCAGTTATATGGTCCGTATACCAGTCGAACACTTCCTGGCTTCTTTTCTCCGAATTTCTTAGGACTCATATACTCATTTTGCCCAACATGAGCTAATGATTGTTCCACTCGAAACGTTCCCGTTAGGCGTTCGCAAGAGCTGTCAACCCTCATTCCACTGAAAAGCGTTGGTCGTTACATACAACGACACCTGGTCTTCTCGTCCATGCCGTTCGTACTTATGGTTGGCGGTTCATCCCCAATCAGCTTTTACCCCCTATGTTGGCAAATGCAGGGTGAGTTGAGTCCGCCCTTTTCTCCCTTCGGTCACTCTGGGCCCTAACATCTGCTGTTAGCATTGGCGCTGTCCTGTATACGTCGTATCTCCAGGCCCTTGGCGTCCTATATGAACCCGTTTCCCGAAGTGTCAAGCGTATATACCCTCCTGCATCACCCGTTGATACATTTACAGCTGGCTTTGCCGCTGGTACGATACAGTCAGTTGTAGCTGCGCCTCTAGACGCTCTCCAGGTTCGAATACGAACGAATGACATGCTCCATGGTCAGTACCGCAGCATGTGGCACTATGGACGGAACAAACTCAAAGAAATTGGTCTTCGCGGCATTTTCGCAGGCTGGAGCCTGTCACTTTTGCGCGACTCATTTGGATACGCCCTTTTCTTCAGTACTTTCGAATACATAAAGTCACAGGCGTATTATTCTTTCGTTACAAGATATTACGGGTCACTTCGCACCCATCAGCTGGACAGTCTGCGAGACACTCAATCAAGTGACCGTGGGGTCCCGCTCATCAAACCTCACTACAGCTTAGAGCCATGCTTCCTGATGTTAGCCGGTGTGGCAGCGTCAATTGCGCAGCAGGCAGTACAGCATCCGCTGAGTGCTATCCAGAATATCCACTATTCCCGGCTAGAATATCTTGATCATCAGGCTAACCTGATCTCCACGAAAGGGCAGATGATGCAAGTCTATTATTCCGCTTATCGAGAAACATTCAAACGTTGCAAGAGGAGGGCAGCACGTGCTGGTGGTTGGCGTAAATGGTTATTTCAGGGGTTTGCAGGAAATGCTCTTCGCCAAGTGCCTAGCACTAGTGCTGGGCTGGTGATATTCGAATTTGTGCGTCGCAAATATGCTAATTTGGCAGACGCCATCTACATTCAGAAAGACGGCTACGACATTCTTCTGACTTGAGAGAAAGGTCTGGTCAGCAATTGTATCAAATTGTCACGAGGAGCCCTCGTTGCTTTGTTCTGGTAGCAATGTAGCGATAAGATATTCGAAGACGCACATTGATGTCGATTTGGCTGTTTCTACATGTTATCTTGCCTCGAGCCTATGTCTGAACTTATATGCAGGTGAATGGAGAGGAAGGGCCTTGTCTCAGGCCCTTATACTATATTCATGGAGTGGATGTCTGATGACTGTTTACATGGCACTTCTATAATATTGTCAGCCCAGCGGAGGGCTGACAATATTACCATATCTGGCCAGGTTATGCGACCTTTGCCTCCTGAGATGCTGAGGTGGGCTATGCCGGTGATGGCTTTTGCGTAATGGTCCCAGTCGAGTCAGTCCCACTGCGTACCCTTTTTGTAAACGTTACGCCCGTACTTTCGCCCGGTAGTATAGTGTAGCCAGACCATCTGTAAATATAGATGAAGTACACTAGAATCCTGATAGGTTGACCTGCTTTTAATGTCAAGGCCTTATATTTAACCTCCCATTCATGTGGTCACAGGCGAGACTCTGGTGACGGCACAAGAGAGACCACGGCCAGACCTAAGCAGTCTTCTTGTCATGGAGGTTAGGTTGATCCTACATTAATGTACAGACTTCCTATAGTCTCCTATGTGTATCGTGCAATAGGGTTACCTTATGAGATGGCTCAACCCTCTGGAAAGCCCAATTCTCCTAATAGATGCTCTGATCATACAGATGAAATAAAAGTACACTGCTTCGTACTTGTCAGCAATACCTATGGTTGGTGCTTAGCTGATCAGAATTCAGGATCTCATGGAAGGCAGGAAGTGCTACGGAGATAACATTGAATATTCAATGACTGATGATCATTATTCCAAGATACATAAGCGGATTGTATACCTCATGTCATCTGCGTAGCTTCACAGGCTACTTGTGAAGCTCTAAATGGACAATTCATATGCTCAATCTTCAAAAGACATCATGAAAAACCAGGCTGCCAAGTCCATCATGCAGAGCTTCCGTTTTTCTATTGATACCATGGGTTTCGGAGTCTCAAGGTGCATATCTCTTCAACCTGGAAGCTCCGACAAGGTGTTTTAGACTACCATTCATTCTTAGTACTGCGTCTCCTAGGAGGTACCGTGTTGTGTAGAGTAAGGTCAAAGAAAAGAGTTGAGATCTCCTCCATCATTGGTTCACCGCCCATGACAGGATCTACCTTAATTACTGGCCTTAATTCCAGAGTGGATTGTTCGGCTAAGGTACTGAGACGTACAGTAAAAGAACTGATGATTTTATGGTTGTATTTGATGATTCTGAAGATGATGATTAGGTACAGATAAAAGGGAAAACAATGAGGGAAGGTCATAAGTCATAAGGTGAAGCAGCTACGCTGAGTCATCCCTGTTTGCACTGTTTAGCTTGTTTCCCATGACAGTACCTTAGCCTACCTGGAGGAGGGACTTACTCCATTGGTACATCCGTCCCGTTCCCAGCCGCCAAGTTGCCAACTTGCATAATACATGACCCAGGACCCAGTCATCCAATAAGGCGTCAGGGGCAATGACTAGGCTGCTCTGACCGTCTGGGTAGACCGAGAGTGCTAGGTCTTCCCTGGCCCCAACTTTCTGGGGAATGCAAATGCCTAAGTGTGTACTCCGTGCATTCAACCTACTGCCATCATCCTTTTCTTCCGTGCCATTCTGCAATCATTCATCTTTCATACCAAGGTGTCAGATAATCGTCTCTATCCATTCAATCCATCATCTAGGTTTGACAACCCTACTGTTGCATGTGCTCAGCTAGCCATCTTAGTCAGCCTTTGTCGTTGCCTTATTTGGGTTTTCCGCCTGATCACTTGTTCTTGACTAAACGGCCTCCAACTGCATCACTTGGCTACTCCGCATCGCTGATCCATTGCAAGCTTAACCCTTGAGCATAAATTCTGACCTCCTCGCCGCAACGTCTCCGCTATCTGCTCTCGTGGTCTCGTAGATTCTCCGGATCAATATCCTACCCAAGTTGCCTTGCATCATTCGGCCAGAAACGTCCAGCTTCCCGCAGCACCAGTCTTCATACGCCTCGGAAAGCTACCATCGTAGTCTACAACACCTGTCTGGACTACCTTCAGGAAAATTTTTCTAGTTTCTGCATGGAGAAGCTGGAGAGCTTGATATCTCCAGTCCACCTTTGATCACTTCAAACTCTTTCCGAGAACCCACTCTTGAGCGCGGAAGGGCTGTCGCCTTCAGCCCACCACAACCGCCAACATTCCTTCAGCAAAGTCTTCTGTACGCACCTCAAGTACTATACCTCTGCGGTCACTAAGCGCTCATTTGCAATCATCCTCGGGGCACTTTGTCGGTGTTGATTCTGCGAGCGAGAAAGGCAGTCGACGTTCCTCATACTCGTCCGGTCACACTGTCGGGTCGACATTCTCCGTTTGGACCGACACAGGTGACCTAGCTGAGCAGCTTGCAGATGTAGAAGAGCCTCTTGGAAATCGACTGCGGAAGTCCCTGGATTGTGAAACAACAAGGGCAGAAGGGTCTCGAGCTGGACTGAAGCGACAAAAGCGCGTGCGCTACATAGCTCAATCGCCCGCTGGTCGGACCGATCTTGAGAAAATATCCATTGACATTCCCTCACCTGCGCCTAGGCGGATTTCCAGGATAGAGCGGTCTTTAGCTATCATCATGTCTCCAAGCAATAGACACACCGCCCAGATACATGGCTTGGTTGGGAAGCCCTTACTGTAAGAAGATCCCGCTTTCTGATCACTGGCTCTGCAGTACTTTCGTTGACCTTTATACAGGTACTTTACCAGTGTTTTCGTATCATTGGGTGTTTTCCTTTTTGGTTATGATCAGGGTGTTATGTCGGGTATAATCACGTTCGTCCTCCGACTCTGCGGCAAAAGGCCTCCATGCCTTGGTGATGATGGGCATGGCGATTTTGAAACAATGACTAACGTGAATACAGTGGTTGGTACTTCAAGGATTACTTCAATCAACCATCGCGAGCTGCGATCGGCACAGTGGTCGCCATCCTTGAAGTTGGTGCATTCATTTCTTCCTTACTCATCGGCCGGATTGGCGACTTGATAGGACGACGGAAGACCATTCTATACGGCTCTATCGTGTTTTCTATCGGTGGCGCTTTCCAGACTTTCGCAACTGGTCTACCCATGATGATGCTCGGCCGTATCGTTGCAGGCCTAGGCGTCGGAGCATTGTCAACAATAGTACCAGTTTATCAATCAGAGATATCCGTATGCGAAATCACTCGATTTCTACTCCCCTTTTTTTCGCCGATCTGCTGACGTATCAATAGCCGCCTCACAACAGGGGCAAGCTAGCGTGTATCGAGTTTACTGGCAATATCTGCGGATACGCGGCCAGTGTGTGGGTGGATTTTTTCTGCAGTTACATCGACAGTGACTATGCGTGGCGTTTGCCACTGCTATGCCAATGCATTATGGGTACCCTCCTTGGCCTAGGAAGTCTCATCATGTGTGAATCGCCGAGGTGAGTATCTGAAATTGGCAATTCAAGCCTCATGCCATGCAGGCTGCTTATACAAAGGCAGATGGTTGTTAGATAATGATCACGATGAAGAGGGCATGGTGGTCATTGCCAACCTATATGGGCAGGGTGATTTGCACAATGACAAGGCCCGACAGGAGTACCGAGAAATCAAGATGAACGTCCTTCTGCAACGGCAGGAAGGCGAAAGATCCTATACTGATATGTTTAAGCGTTATCGCAAACGAGTCCTCATCGCAATGTCAGCTCAGGCATTGGCACAGCTGAACGGTATTAATGTGATATCCTATTATGCCCCACTCGTTTTTGAGTCAGCGGGCTGGGCGGGTCGCGATGCTATTTTGATGACCGGAATCAATGGGCTCTCGTACCTTGCCTCAACAGTTCCCCCATGGTATCTCGTGGACCGCTGGGGAAGGCGCCCGATCTTGCTTTCCGGGGCGGTTGCAATGCTTATCTCTCTGTCTCTGATATCTTACTTCATCTATATCGATGTTGCAGCAACTCCGACTCTGACTGTTATCTTTGTCATGATTTACAATGCGTGAGTATCTTCTGTACTCCTCTTTCTCTTCTCAATGAGCGGAACTATCGGATGGTCTACCCAGTACTAACGCAACTTAGTTCGTTCGGCGCATCCTGGGGCCCTATCCCCTGGCTGTACCCCCCCGAGATCTTGCCCCTGAGCATCCGTGCCAAAGGGGCCAGTCTTAGCACAGCTACGAACTGGGCTTTCAACTGGCTCGTCGGAGAGGTGACTCCTGTCCTTCAGGCTGCGATAAAATGGCGTCTTTACCTTGTCCATGCCTTCTTTTGTGCTTGTAGTTTTGTACTTGGTGAGCCTCACATTCCAGACCCGACACTTCATGATTCACTAATGGGTACCTTTTAAGTATACTTCCTCTATCCCGAAACGAGCGGTGTACGTCTGGAAGACATGGACGTCCTCTTTGGTGATGCGACGACTGCTGTGCCAACACCGGCGACACAAGCTGAGCGTGGATCGCTTATGAGCGGCGGCTCGCCGGTGCCTTCCCTCGACATCAGACGGCAGTATGGTCAGTTTGGAACGGAAAGCGCCATTCCTGGTTTAGATATTGATCCACCTAACATCAGCGCCCATGATAATTCTAAACCTGCAGGGCTTAATCCTTTGAATGAAAGCAGCGGACGGCCTGAAGGTATTGGCGGCTGGATCTCAAATATGGTCAGTCGCCACAGAGCACCGGGACCGCAAGCGAAAAGTAATCAGTATAGACGTCTGGGGCAAGAAGAGGATGAGAACGATTAGAACGGTCCTTGATTGTATATTTATCTCGTGCTCCTCTCCGTTTTCGAGAATTCGTTGCTTCTACAGTACTAATTCTCTTCTTTTCTACCTTTTGCGCTTTTTGGCTATATATCTGCTCCTTTTCTTTGTGGTCTCGCCGTTACTTCATTTTTCTCTTCTCCTTTACCAAGGAGTAGAGAGGTTTGGTTGCAACGAACAATTTTGCATTGGTGTATCTATGTTGTTGTTGTGTGGATAGAACTGGACGGCGCGGATTTGACCACACAGGTCAGTACGGGCTTGCTTCTTCTTCGGCAGTGTCCATGTACATGTGATATACCGGTCTGAAATCTCTCTGATCTATGAAGGGTTTCATGATACTCTGAAAATCTGTTAAAAACTAATTGAAGGTTACTCTGTTCTGGTCAGGGCCGGTTTCTGGTTATGCTAGAAGAGGTCTGATCCTGGGCTTCTTATTTCATTCATCCCTCTTTTTCCCGTCCTTTTTTCGTAACACATCCACATGTAAGCACGTGTCTGAACAGCTGATTTACCATCATCAGAGTCGGGACAAAATGCATCTGGATATTTGTGCGAGATAACACATAAGCATCCCATATCCCACATAGTTCTGACAATCTGATCTCTGGTTTCAGGAAGGCTTGGTAGTGTATGTTGTTTCACATATGCGGCGAAACTCAATGTCGTCACGGGCCACGCCAAAGACTCGAAGACTATCATAGATGTACTCCATAGGCAAGCCGCAAGAATTATGGATAAGGACTCATTATTGGCATGTTGGAGAACAGTGAGGTGGCTGAGCGGGGCCCGATCCGATGCCGAACCATTTTTTCCGTGAAATTACTCCGTTCCAGGCCAACTATCCATTTGCTTACTACCTACCTTTACACTCAGGCCACATACTTCAACCTAGCTTCTACTAGCCTTTCGTTTCATGCCTGCTGTAGCCACCTCTGCCTTTCGCTTCGTTTCTTTTTGATTTCCCAAACCCTCATTACTTTTATTCGACCTTTCCATTTTACAAAAGTACATTTTTGATCCCACTGAAGATCTGTCGAGGACCCTGTAGGCTCACGCTCATTATAATCTGGAGACTAACCTTTTCAATTGAGAATTGGATATGCCCGTGTACTACCTCTGAGTGTCATCTCCGCCAACTCATTCTCTTTCTCTGGGCTCAGTATCTTAAAAGACTGTATTGTATGCGTTCCAATCTCCGCCGGTGCCCTTGCAATGTGAATGCTGACTTCTCCGCATTGATCTAGGATGAGACCATCCACCATGGCGGAAATGGATGTCGCATCAACTACCGGTGCCAATGTCAGCTCCGATTTGCGGCGTAGGAATGTTCACGCCACAGAGAAAGTTGATAAGCCCTCATCTCATAGCCTCGAGGACAAGGATGCAAAGTTGAGGCCTAAGGTATGATGGTTATACTCGCTCTGTTCCACCTGCAAAGCGTCGCATCTTATCGCCAGCTAATGTCCCTTCTGTCGAACAGCCCAGTTCTTTCTTCTCGATACTAGATAGTTGGGAACCTTTCATTGCGCCGATCGTGCTGACAGCCTTGGCTGTCTTCACCCGTATGTACCGCATAGGTCGCTCCAACATTGTGACATGGGATGAAGCCCAGTACGTTACATAACACCTTAGCCATGTGAAACTACCAGAGTGTCTAATTACTGTCGACCAGCTTTGGGAAGTTCGGTTCACACTACTTGAAGCGAGAATTCTACTTTGACGTTCACCCGCCACTGGGAAAGATGCTTGTTGGCTTATCCGGTCTCCTTGCTGGCTACAACGGATCCTTTGAATTCAAATCAGGAGAGAAATACCCAGACGATGTCAACTTCACATTCATGCGTGTCTTCAACGCCGCTTTCGGTGTCATGTGCGTTCCTCTCGCTTATTACACTGCCCGAGAGCTCGGTTTCCGCAAGGCCACCGTTTGGCTAATCAGTCTGATGGTTTTATTCGAAAACTCCTACGCGACCATTTCAAGATTCATATTGCTTGACTCGATGTTACTTTGCTTCACCTTTACGACCACCATGTGCTGGGCTAAGTTTCATCGGTTACAGCATGCTAGCTTCTCAGTTGAGTGGTTCACCTGGCTCTTCTTGACGGGTATAAGTATCGGCTGCGTATGCAGTGTTAAATGGGTGGGTCTTTTTTGCACTGCATTAGTGGGTCTCTATACAATTGAAGATTTATGGAATAAATTTGGCGATCTTAGGATGCCGAAGGTCAGTCCTGAAGGGATTTCGAGACTAATGCTGTGTACCTGACCTTGTGAACAGACAGTCCTCGTCAACCACCTACTGGCTCGCGTAGTCGGATTGATTATTATACCAGCTGCGGTATATATGCTTTCCTTTTACGTGCATTTCTGGATTCTTGAAAACAGTGGACCGGGGGACGCGCAGATGAGCTCTCTCTTTCAAGCTAACCTAAAGGGCACCGAGGTTGGAAAGGACAGCCCTCTCGAAATTGCCCTTGGCTCTAGGGTTACTTTAAAAAATATGGGTTATGGTGGAGGACTACTGCATTCTCATGTTCAAACTTATCCCGACGGTTCCAATCAGCAGCAGGTCACTTGTTACCATCACAAGGACGCAAACAACGATTGGTTCATTTACCCCAACCGCCATGAACCTGAGTATGACGCCAACGGACCTCCGTCTTTTGTTGGTGATGGCGATATTATTCGTCTTATTCATGGGCAAACGGGCCGAAACCTTCATTCGCATGCCATCCCGGCTCCTATCACCAAGTCTCAGTACGAAGTCTCCTGCTATGGTAACATCACTATTGGGGATGAAAAAGATCACTGGGCAGTGGAGGTTGTCGATGATGTCGCGTCAAGGGACCGAAGCAGGATTCGAACACTGACAACTGCATTCCGCCTGAGACACATCGTTCTGGGCTGCTATCTACGCGCTGGCAACGTGAACCTCCCACAGTGGGGTTTTAAGCAGATCGAGACCACATGCGTCAAAGAGAACAATCCTCGCGACGTCTACACGCATTGGAATGTGGAGTCTCATTTTAATGATCGACGTAAGTACAACCGAGAAGCTTGAGCATTGCCCGCTCAGCCTGTCGTTCCTCTGCTGTTTTCACCTCTCAACAGCGTTACCTTCCTTTCCCCCTTGAGCAGGCTGGTACTCTGGTCTGACGTGAAATTCTCGCAGTTCCACCTGGTGACCCAGGGTCGTATAAGTCCCCCTTTATAAAGGATTTCATCCATCTGAATGTCGCCATGATGACATCAAACAACGCCCTTGTTCCTGATCCAGACAAACAAGATGATCTTGCGTCGAAATTCTGGCAATGGCCCATACTCAATGTGGGCCTTCGTATGTGCTCCTGGGATGACAACACCATTAAGTATTACCTCCTCGGAAATCCCTTTGTCTACTGGGGCAGTACAGTCAGTCTCGGGGTTTTTGGGCTCTTAATATTCTGGTATCTCGCCCGCTGGCAGCGGGGTTACAAGGATCTCAATCAAGTGGACATCGATCACATCCATTATTCCGGCTTCTATCCTCTTCTCGGATGGATCCTACACTACTTCCCCTTCATAATCATGGCTCGGGTGACCTATGTTCACCATTATTACCCTGCGCTCTATTATGCCATACTTACTTTCGGTTTTTGTGTTGACTGGCTTGCTCAAAAAATGAGTCCTGTGGCCCGTGGGTCTCTGTATGCCGTCCTTTACGTGGTCATCATCGGGATGTTTGTTCATTTCCGGGTCATTGTGTTCGGCATGGAGGGACCTAGCCAGCAATGGGCCAATTTGAACTGGCTGAGCGGTTGGCGGATTGCGAATTGATTTGGATATCAGGCACCTACGAATGTCAACTTTAACAGTTCTGTATCCATTATTTATCATTCGTCGTGCGATGTATGTCAAAGTGTGTCTGGCGCTACTGTTGCTATTCTCGAAATGATTAACTCCGTATAATACTGGATCCTCCGATGACGTCTGCTTATGTGCGCGTAGGCAGACACGACGTAGCGAAGTCTTTCACCATCTGCACACCTGATTGTGCTGGAGTTCTGGGACAAGCAATACCTCCAATTCGGCATGTAACTAAGCTTTCAGCTGGTTCCAACTTCAAGGTCCAAGCTTGTATACCGATCGGTTACCACTGCCAGCACTCTATACACTAACATCTCAGCCACCAACTACACAATACTACCATGAAGCAATGGCAATACCTTGATACCTTACGAGCCCGATTTATAATCGGTAAGCACAATTAATAGTGATGCCTAGATTCATGCTCCTCATCTAGGGGTTCTTTCCATCTGCCTGTCTAGGTATGGTGGCTGTTGCAGAAACAAGAAAGGTGATACTCAGGTGAAAGGAGTTGCCCAAGCACAATCATTAACTAAATAAGCAGGTAGTACGATATATAATTGCATAGACGAGTCATGCCATGCATTACAATATCCTGTATTACCACCATGACTTGCAAGAGGGCTTAGATAAAATGCATTTCTCATGCTAGCAACAAGCTCCGCGCCAACCATTTCCACCACTGCGCATTGCATCATTCAAGCCTAAGGTGATGGTCTTCGGCGTTCCCGCGCTTGCTCCCCCTGTAGCCCCAAAACCCTTTACACCGCTTCGACGATCGTTCAGGTCGTACTTTCCTGCCTCGATATTGCGATAAATCCTCTCGGCAACTTCAAGGAATGCGCGCTCGACGCCTTCACCGGACTTTGCACTGGTTTCAACGTAGCGAACAACATTGTTCATGCGGCACCACTCCTCCGCTTCTTGCCTGGTGACACGCCTCTGATTCACGTCGGATTTCACTTCCGCGAGATCGCTCTTGTTCCCAACCAGAATTACAACAATGCCATCTTCTGCAATTTGCCGAAGATCTTGCAGCCATTGGGTGCACGAGGTGAACGTAGAGGGACGAGTGATGTCATAAACGAGGAGAGCCCCTGAGGCACCACGGAAATACGAGCGAGTTATCGACTTGTAAGTCTCCTGGCCCGCGGTGTCCCAAAGGGAGAGCTTCATTTTTTTCTGTGGTTGATCTCCTAGCGGTTTTCGTGGAGGGCTGGGGAGGCCCGAGGCAGCAGACTCGTGGGATGCAACCATAGCTGTCGCCGTTGAAGATGGCAGAGTAGAAGAATCTGAAACATCGGAATCTACCCCCAGACTCTTTGAAGCCGGAGGCCCGACTGGAACAATACGCGAGCCGAATTCCACGCCAATAGTAACATCATGACTGGAAGAGAAGCGCCCTTCGCAGAGTCGAATGGTCAACTATACAACAATACACAGGTCAGCACAATTGTCTGAGATTCAACGTAAAAACTGTGTAAATGGGCTTGAAACACTCACACTGGACTTTCCAGTGCCGGAGTCTCCAATACAGACAAGCTTAGCGATGTAATCCCATGGCTGTGACATGGATACAGAAGATGTTGGAGCGCAGGTGTAAATAATGCTCTATGTTATCAGTTATCAGGAGGTTGCCAATATCAATATATTTCAACTCATACTCCAATGCCTCCCGCAAGAGAGCCACATCGGTATGCTAATTTTCTTGTCCTGGATGCTTCGATGAGGAGGTACGTGGGATCAATTCGACTTTGGACCCAGAATGTATGGAGCATGGTGCTGAGGAACAGCTGATGAGTCATCTCCGTCGACCCTACCCAGCCATATGACGAGTGTGCTCCTCTCTATCTGCTTCACATGAGCAAGTCCGTGGATTTATATCAACTTCTTAACTGGACCTCTTACAGATTCAGTCATATTTAGCGATTTGAAAATAGAGCGACTGACTCTCTGGATCATGTTTCCTCCCTGCCTTTGCTACTTCATTTACATCCAATATACCTGTGATACTGAATATTAGCTCACCGCAAATTGTCCGGCCGCACACTATTAGAGACTCTAGTCACGATAACAACTGAATTTAACACGAATCTTCATTTAGCATGAATCAAGACCTCTAGCAAGCCCAGGTACACTACAGGTCATGTTTTCAGAGTGTATGCATTCCAAACTAATAAAGAGCTACCCTGCTATCCTTTGCGTCATTCCTTCTGGTCTCTGTTTGCATGAACTCACATCAATAACACAGATGCCTCGCGCTTTCTTGCTCAGTCACAGTCACGACTAGGCCCTTCTCCTGATGATGCACGTCGTAATGACAGTGATCGTCTCAATGCACGACCTGGAGCTTCCCGCCTTTCTTCATCGCGAGCACTTTTCCGAATGACACTAGATCCTTACCACCAAGCCACGTCCCAGGTCTCTAATCTCCCTTTCGGTTCACGAAATTCAGCTCAGCCTGCGCCTCTGTTCTTCAGCGCAACAGATGATTTCCGTGACGAGGATGATGAAGCAGAGCGGGAGCGCGAGATTGCGGACTTCTACGCCTTGCAAAGGTCAAGGCGGCATTTTGGCAGCAGCCAACTCAAAGATTCTTCGGAAATTGGAGGGGATGGCGACAGTTCGATCAGCCTTGAGCAGCAGCCTCTCCAGGATGATAAATATGTCAAGCGCGGGAGGATCAGAAGCTCTTGGCGTGCCAGCAGTAAGTCTATGAACGGGGAAAGCGGTCGTGCATTTGAGTCAATTGCGATGACAGCCGATGACCACGGAGGTCCCGACGAAGTCCGACAAAGTCGTAGTCTCGGAGGGAATTTGGTCGATATTCGTCTTGAAGATACATTGAGATCAGACGAGAATGTTGACCAGGTTGGGTCACTTGAGGGTCGTGATGATAGTCCTCCATCCGTCCAGCTGTTCCGGGAACAAACAAGCTCCGAGCCAAGGATTCTTGGTATAGAGACGTTCCTCGGGCCGAGCGAGATAGATAAGCAACAACTTCTCGATGACCTTGAACCATCAAGCATAGCGGACTCTGGTCTCGAGCCTTCCTCACTAAGGGAGACGCAACCTGGGGCCCATGATACTTTCTGGGGGAAGCTCTTTTTGATCTCTCTGGGCTGCCTACTTGCTACCTCATTTCTCACTTATTTGCATACATCTGCGCCTTCAGGTGACAAATCGAGATGGGGCGACACGATATATCTCACTGTCCATGGATCCTTCTATCTCCTCGGCATCTATACGGTGGTCTCCGTATTCATATCACTTCTTTGGCTGGCGTTACTGCGGTATTACGTGCGCTCTTTGGTCTGCGCAATGATCTTTGCAGTTCCTGTTATACTATACTCTTTCTCGCTTTATCCCTTCATCTCGAGTTTCAAAGGGATCTGGCATGGGACTAGTATTCAGGACAAAGCCATGAGAGTCATCTCTCTCGTGCCGTTCATCATCTCAAGTTTTTGGATATATAATGTTGTCCGGAGCCGCCACGCAATTGGCAAAGCCATCAACATCCTTGAGTTCGCCTGTCGAATTCTCGCTGCAAACCTCGAATTATTACTCCTTGGCCTTGGCATCCTGACTTGTATTGTCTCCTGGACGTGGGTCTGGATGCTGATGTTCGCTCGAGTTTTTTTAGGGGGCCATATGTCAGAATCGCACGATTTCGCCCTCAACATCAGCAGCTGGTGGCTGGGAACCTATTTTGTCTTCGTTTACATCTGGTCATTGGGAGTCATCGCCGGTATCCAACGTTCAGTTACAGCTGCAACAGTGAGTCAGTGGTACTTTCACCGTCTCGCGAACCCGAAACCCACGTCTAGGCAGATAGTACAGGCAGCTTTTGTCCATTCTGTCACCACGTTGTTTGGCACCGTCTGTTTCTCTAAGCTGATAGCATTATCTACTCGGCTGCCACTTCTATTGCTGCCGACTCGCGTATCTCGGCTTCTGAATCTTTTCGTGTACTCCATCGTTCCTTCTCCCCTCGCGGCGCTCACAGACCCTCTTGCTCTCACTTATGCCGCTATTCATTCTCAACCACTAATACTATCTGCTCGTGGCCTCCTCGAAATGCCGAATGTCTCACTTGCGACGGCGGTGTCGTCACTCCATCCGAGGTCGTCTTCTTGGTCTCATGCGGGTTCTGCACCGCTCCTCTCCTACCGCCTTTCGAAGCTCTTTCTCCACGCCGCTCGCTTCATGATGTCTTTGGCACTCGGTTTTGGAGGATGGGTAAGCGCTGCTCGGAACCTCGAGGTTTCCGGCCCGGGTAATGGAGTTCATGGCAGTATGTATGCCTATGTGGTCGGACTCATTGCGGGAATCATCGGCTGGAGCATCCTAGGAGCGGCTGAAGGCGTCATCGCAGATATTGTCGATGCCTCGTTCATCTGCTGGAGTAGTGAAGTTGGTACTCGTGGTGGAGAAGCCCGGTATTGCCGCGAAGCTGGCTGGCTTTTTGGTGAACATTTGGCGAATGACCTTCGCCATGCATCCCATGCACATCAGGCTGAGCCGTAAGCATTCTGGACAAGTCCTTTATATCCATACCTGAACACTCGGTCGCTCAATCCACATTCGAATCCAGCTCTTTTAATGGGCCTCGTTTTCAGTAAGATGGTCCTATGTCATGACGTTCGGATCTTTATTTTCATACTCTCTTTATCTGAGACCATCGCATTTATTCATGCGTATTTGAAGATTGCATCACATCGTAAGTGCTTGGATTTGCATCGTCTCTTTTGAATTACCAAGTTTCCACCTTTTCTTCTCGCGCGACGTTTTCGTAGGTGCCATGTTTCAGTGAGAGGCCGCGATAATCTGCATAGACTAGACTACTCATCAAATGATGATGTGGAATAGATCTTATATGCCGTTGCGATGATCATCTTACTGTGGGCCAAATAGTCTACTTTCACAACTTTGTAGTAAGTTGCCCAGAATGTGCAGAGCATTCCTATCCATTGAAATTACATATTTTGTTATACGCAGATATGGTAGTCGCATGTCATGATTTCAGGAACCTATAAAACTGTGCTATCACTTGTCTAATTCTGGAAAGACTCAAAACTGTGGTATCACGGCACGACGGCAAACAGAAGATAGACTCGTTTAACGCCCGCTGGCTTGAATTGACCGACTGACAAACAAGAAAAAGCCAACAAAAATACAGGAAGGAAACAATAATCAAGGTTTGCAAGAACAGCAGCCATGGCATTATAATCTGTCATCTTGTCATAAATTCAGTCGGCAGCTCCAAGCGACGCCTTCTTTCATACACCACTCTCTTAGAATCGCACACCCAAACCGAACAGTTTCCACAGGTGCTGATGTCTTCCCAGGTGGAAAAAGAAACTCTCCAGTATAGTCTCCGATCTTGAGCTTCTGCTTTCCCAGATGAGAATATCTTCTTGAGCGTCTAGACCAGGTGTCAGGAAATTCACGGGAAAGAATATCTTCTGAAAGGCCTTGCAAGCCCTCGAGCCACAGTCTCTGGGACTCTTTGTAAAAATCAAGTAATCGGTTTTTTAACTCAATGATGTCTCTTCGATTCTTCTTGTTCTCATCCGACGTGACGGTAGTGCCGTCACTTCCTGGTGTGGGCACAGGAGTATGATCTCCTGGCAATGGAGTAACTGCGAGGCGTTCCAGGTCGAGAGCGTGAATCGCATCGTAAGACACAGCACCGAGAATCAAACAGAGACTGTGGAGTCTCGGGTAAGGGACACTGTTCTTTCTCACAACACGCCAATAGGCGAGTATAGATATCCAGGTCGATGCGTCGCCAATTTGACGGGCCAAAGCTTTAGACTGATCATCAGCAACAAATGCGAGAATGAAACAAAGGACAGCCTCTATCGCCGTCACAACTGCAAGTTTTTCATCAGCAGCAGTCACCGCATCTTTGTTGGTATGCCTCTCTGCAGCATGCTTCAACTCCCTACCCAAGTTTCCAAGTCTCTGGTATTCGTCCTTCCAAGCTCGACGTTCAGAGTTCCGGGACCGAGACACAGGATTATCGGAATCCGCCGATGCTGACTTCGAAGTGTTCACCTGGCTTCCCAGTTGATCTTTGGTGTAATGTTGGGACGCCGACTTCCCCGCGCTATGGAAGGTCTCGATACGAGCAGCAGAGCTCTTTGCATCCTTGGTCGGAGACCTCGCAAAGTTCTTCGATTGATTTGATATCGAGGCCAGGGTAGGGGACGCAGGAAGCCGGGACTTTTCTGGGGTTGGCGCCCTGGGCTCCTTCGATCGTTCTTTCGTTGAAGTACTTGTGTCCATGTTAACCGTATCCTTGACTGTACCCTCCAGCCGGTGGGATTTGTGGCTGGTATACTCGAGTGCGGAAGTATTAGATTCGTTAAGCCGAGCTTTGGGCACTCGGGCTTTCTCGGAATCCCCTTGCTGGTTAATGAGTGAAGATGTGAGAGCTGCTTTCCTCTTGGCAGAAAATTTCAGGAGAGCCTCGATGCGCTTCCTATTCGATCTTCCATATTTCAGTTTTACCACCAGCCGTGGCTTCAATGCCACACATTCTTTGGTATCTGTGGATGGTGGCGTTTGATCACCTCTAAGAGATTGCAAGTCCAGATTTGGTGCGTCACCGAAATCAGAGCTCCTAGAATCTATGGGAGTAGCTATGCATTTATCGGCCGTCGAGTTCAGGCTTCTACCATGCAAGCTAGGTCCAGTCGTTGCGTATGGCTGCAGTCTGCTGTGGTCATGAGGCTTCGGGTTCTGTAAACCCTCCTTTGACGATGCAGACTCA